CAGTTCCTCCTTGTATGTTTTGTAGAATTCTGCTGGAAAGCCATCTGATCCAGGGCTTTTTTCTGTAAGTAGTTTCCTTATGACATAGTCAATTTCCTGGATTGTTATTGGTCTATTTAGGGTCTCAATTTCTTCTTGTTTCAACCTAAGGAGGTTGTGTGATGTCAGAAAGTTCTCCATTTCCTTAAGGTTTTTGAGTTTGTTTCCATACAAGTGTACACAGTAGTCTCTGATAATCTTTTAAATTTCTTCAGGGTCAGTTGTAACTTGATCTTTTACATTTCTAATTATGTTTATTTGGATTTTTTCTCTCTTTTTCTTGGTTTATCCTTTCAAAGAACCAGCTTTTTGTTTCATTGATTTTTTTTTTTTTTTTTTTTTTGTATTATCTTTTTGTCTTCTATGTCCCGATTTTGGCCTTTTATTTTGTTGATCTGGTTTCTTCTGCTGAAGTTACGGTTTTGGTGGTTTTGCTTTTCCACCTCCCTTAGGTGACTTGTTATGCAGTTAGCTTGTGATCTTTCCATTTTCTTCATGTGTGTTCATAGAGATATGAATTCCCCTCTTAAAACTGTTTTCATGGTATCCCAGAGGTTTAGGTAGGATGTTTCTTTGTTTTCATTTGTTTCCAGGTATCTTTCAATCTCTGTTTTGATTTCCTTGTTGACCCATGAGTTGTTTAGCATCATGCTGCTTACTGTCCATGTCTTTGTGGATTCTGAGGGAATTTTGTTCGTATTGATATTTATTATTATTCCACTGTGGTCTGAGAAGGTGCATGGTAGTATTTCAGTCTTACGGAATTTGTTTATGCTTGATTTATGGCTGAGGATGTAGTTGATCGTAGAGTATGTTCCATGTGGTGATGAGTAGAATGTATATTCCATGGTTTTGTAGTCCAGTGTTTTGTAGTCCATTTGGTCAAGTGTCATGTTGAAGTTCCGCATCTCCTCATTGACTTTCTGTCTTCATGATCTGTCTAGGGTTGTGAGTGGGGTATTTAAGTTCCCAGCTATGATAGCATTAGGGTCAATATCTTTTTTTAAGTTTACCTAGAAGCTGCTTTATGAAAGTTGGCTCCTATGTTGGGTGTATATATGTTTAGGATGGATATTTCTTGTTGATGAATTGAAACTTTTATCATTATATAGTGACCTTCTGTGTCTTTTAAATTTTTGATAGCTTAAAGGATATTTTGTCTGATATTAAGATCACAACTCCTGCTTTCTTCAGTGTTCTGTTTGCCTGAAATTTTGTTTTCTGTCCTCTGACTTTGAGTCTGTGAGTATCTTTTCTGGTGAGATGAGTCTCTTGGAGACAATATATTGTTACCTCATAATATTTTATCCATTTTGCCATTCTATGCCTTTTCAGTGACACATTTAGTCCATTCCCATTCAGGCCAGTTATTGAGATGTAAGAGTTTATCCATGCCATGAGGTTCTTATGGAGTTTTTTTGTTGTTGCTTCTGTTTGTTTGTTGTCTCTCTTTTGATTTTGGGGTTGATTCACATGTATTTTCAATCTCTTTCCTGCCTTCTTGGGAAGGACACTGTCATTCTTTTTTTACTTTCTTCTGTGTTTAATACTTTAAGTGTTTCTTGTAGAGCTGGTCTAAGCATAAGCTCTTAGGGATTGAATGTCTTGGAAGGATTTTAATTCCCCATCACTGATGAAGTTTAACTTAACAGGGTAGATAATTCTTAGTTGAAATTGTTTATCTTTAAGAACTTTGAAGATTGGGCTCCAAGCTCTCCTAGCCTGATAAGTCTGCTGCTATTATAGTTGGTCTTCCCCAGTAGGTAGTAGTCTGACCTTTTTCTCTTGCTGCCTTTAGGATTTTTTCTTTTATGCCTACTTTGTTAGGCGAATTACTATGTGTCTAGAAGTTGGTCTTTTCATTTGTTTTCTTGTGGGGGGTTCTCTGAATTCTTGTGTTTGAATGGTCATGTCATTGATGAGATGAGAGAAGTTTTCTTGGATAATTTCTTGGAATATTTGTTCCAGGGTGGTCTCTGTCTCTCTATCTGCCTCGAAATTCCAATTAATCTTAGGTTTGGCCTCTTGAAATAATAGCTTATCTTTCAGAGGTTTTGTTCTGTCTTTTAAAGTTTCTTTTCTATGTTTTTAACAGTTTGGGTTAGTTCCATATTTTGGTCCTCAAGCTCTGAGATTCTTTCTTATGCTTGGTTAATTCTGCTTTCCATACTCATCAGTTTGTTATTTATTTCATTCGCTGTCTTTTTCATTGCTGTTATCTCAGTTATCAACTCCTTCATTCTTTCTTCTTGTCTCTTCTCATTTCTATTTATTCTCTCTATTAATGTCTTGATATCTGGGTTTGTGGTTTGAGACCAGTCATTCTGGGGGTTCTTCATTGTTTGCATTCTGAAGTCTGTATTCTCAGTGGCTGACCTCCCAAGGGTCTGTGTGAGTCCCATATTCTTCCTTTGGTTTTTCTTCTTTTGTGTAGATTTTCCACCCCTTTTTTTAACCTCTTCTTTAATTCTGATGTTCAGGGATGGGGGGTAGCTTTTACTTCTGTTTGGTCAATCTCCTCTTCTTCCTTATGTGGTTCCTCTGGCTTTGTTCAATTCTGGAGCTGGACTGTGGGTGGGGGGCTGTACTTTTTGCAGTTTTGAGATTTGAAGGGGGAGCTGTCATTCAGAAACTATCTGTAGATCCCCTATCTGCTGACTGGTGTGTGGGCCCCCTGGAACCCATTTCCAACTGCCTTACAATCTGTTCATGCAGTGGAGGTATGGGTTAGCTCCCTGAAAGCAAAGTGAAGTAAGAAAAAGGAAATGAATGGAAAAAGGAAGAAGGGGGATGAGAGGAAGGTAGAGAGAAAGAAGAAGAGGGAAAACAGACAGGCGTACCAGCTAGCAAATGAAAAGAGACACAAAGACATAAAAGATTTTTTAAAAAACACATACATATAATCATATAAACACAAAAACTCCCCTATTGATGTACTCTCTCTCAAAAATACCCATACACAAACAGAAAGTCTTAAAAAAAATACAATAACAGAAACAAAGCAAATACAAAAAAGTAATCAAAAACAGAAAGAGAGAAAAGAAAAAAACTGAAACAAAAAACAAACAAAAGCCAAAAAAATGAGCAAAACAAACAAACAAAACAAAAAAATAAAACTCACTCTGAGTTTGTTCCTGTAAGTCCAACTTCCTTTCAGCTCTGATCTCCAGTCCCTCCCCTCTGCTCTCTGCACAGGTTGATAGGGTTACTGTCAGCATGGGTCAGATTCCCCATGGACTACTGTGGGAGGGGGTGGCTCAGATCTAGACTCATCCAGCTTGCTGCATGTCAGGTCTCCCACTCAGATCTTACATGTCTGTGTCTGATCCAGTGTGGGAGAGGGGTGTTCATCTCTCTGCGTTTGATGAGATGACCTCTAGATCTCAAGTTGGAGGCCGGGTGGAGCTGGGCAGGGCAATGCGGGTCTCTGCCTGGTCCTGGGACAGAGAAAATGACTCCGGTTGGCGTTTCCTCACCAGTGGTGGGCTCCTGTCCAGCTCTCCTCAATCTTCTCTCTTTACAGTCCTGGTTGTAGTATCTTGCTGACACATGTGATGTGTGGGATCAGCTGCTTTCTGCTGCCTCTTATCAGGAGAGCCCTGAGAATAGCAGTTGATCCTGCATCCCAGCAGCTCCAGTCTCAGGGTGGTGGGGGTTGCGGAGGAGAGCCCCGGGTGCATGAACCGAAGTCTCCCCTCAGACAGACTTTCACTCACCCACCAGCACATCCACTCATGCAGAGAGTCTTTATGGACACTCACTTTTGCGGTGATGCTCACAGTCCAACCTGTTCCGTCGCCATCTTGCTGAAGGTCATTATAGTCATCTTTTATCCCTGATAGCTCACACATGGGGGTTTGCCTTGTGCTGTCTTGGATTGAAATAAATAACAGAACCCATGAAGGAAGGCTTGAAGGTCTCCAGACACAGTCTGGTGTCCCTGAGATACCAAGAGTAGGGGACCCAAATCCCTTTGAATTGTGTCACATCCTAGCTGGAGAACAGGATTCCAGTATATATCATCCATGGCCTGGTCAGAGGTGTAAGTGTCCTTGTCCCTCTGAAGGTTTGAGGAAACAGTTCCAACACTGCTGGATGCATGGTGTTATGGGATGAGTGTTTGATTCACAGGTGGACCTCCATGGCTTTTCTTCATTGTTAGAACCATTTTTAAGTGTCACAGAGATGAAGACTGTGAGGTGTTTGACAAGACAGTTGCTTGTTTGTGGCATGGTGTCATGGATTTCACTAAATTTGCCTTTCAGTCACAAACATCCAATCACCTAGACACAGGAAAAGAAAACAGACAGAGAAAGCAGTGAGATACATGCCTGGCAGCTCTCCTGCTGCTCTATCTGGAGCATCTGTCTCTGGAAAGGTGGGGCGAACACTTCAGTCCCTATGGTCCCTGGGTGACTGTCAGGGAGAGCCCTTCTAGCACTGACATAGACACCAGCGTCTTCCTGTAAAACGCAGGCCTAATCATGCCTGTTGTGTCACCTGGCACTCACCTGAAGAGCCAGGGAAAAGCTTAGCCGTGTCAGGGTGCTCTATGGGGTGGGGTATATGTCCCCAGCATGGTGTCATTTTGGCTCTGTCTTTTTTTTGCCTAAAACTGGCTTCAGAATTGAAGGTCCCATGTAGAGTGAGACCCCACAGCATCCCCATTCTTAGAAAACCGAACGCTGCCCAGGGAGGCTGCCCACCTCTACCTCTCTGCTGTTTTGCTCAAGATACTTTCAGGGACTATGTCTCCATGCATGGGTCTGGGGTTCTTGGGAGCCTCACGTGGCACACTGTGGCTGGAAGGCTGGCCTAATGTACGTGTGGGCCCAAGGGGTGTCCGCATGTTCCTGGGCAAGCGTGTCACACTCTGGCTTAGAGACGGACCTAAACATGTGTGGTCTCAAGGGAGTTCATGCATCCTGTGCAAGCTAACAGCTGTCCCTTCTAATCCCCAGAGTGCCTACCGCATGTTTACAAACAACACATGTCTGAAGCACATGATCACCAAGGTCCGCAGGGACACCCACCACTTTGAGCGCTACCAGCACAACCGGGACCTCGTGGGATTCCTCAACATGTTTGCGAACAAACAGCTGGAACTGCCCAGGGGCTGGGAGATGAAGCATGACCACCAGGGCAAGGTAAGTCGGGACACTCATCTGTCCCTCCAAGGAGGCCCTGGGCTCTTGGTGGAGTAGAGCCTCCCCTCCCAACCATCGGAAATCGGGCAGGCAGGCTGTGACTGCACTCGGCTACTAGGTGATGTGTGCAGTGTGGAGGAGTAAGTCAGTGAAACACCCCTTCCCCTGCTAGTCTTCTACCTATCATCTCTTATCATCCCTGCTGACGAGAGAAAGACTTTGGGCCACAGCCTTCCTTCCCCTTCTGACATAGCTTGTGCTGAAGGTACTTGAATAAGAAGTTGTGGTACTGTTTGGAAGAAGGGACCTGAGGTCACTGGGTGACTGCAAACGTTGTGCTTTATGACTCCGTCTGGGTTTGGGCCTCTGTTTTAACTCGAGATCCTGATTTTGTTAGCACATTAAATAAGACTTGTTGGTTGATTAATTTATGATGAGATGTGTGACTGTGTCACCCAAGCCAGAGTCACCACCTCTGCACTACCCTTGTAGACAGATGGACCAAGACCTGGTTATACTCAGGAAGCTGTTATAGGAGCAGGAAGTTAGAATGAGAACACTAGTGCTCGTCTGTGGTGTCCTCAAGCTGGGATCTTGTTTTTATGTAACGTGTATGTAGCACCAACGGTGAGAGGAGTTGACAACTCTCCATATGTAGAAAGTCACCACAACTTGACAAGACAGAGCTGCTGTCACTGTTCACGGACAAGGAGCCTGGGTCCAGAGTGACCAGTGACTTGGCCAGCATCTCAGAGCTGGGTAGTGGCTGACCTGTGCCAGGAACCAGGTAGGCGAGTCCAGGGGCTTGTGTTAGTCTAAGATGCTCTGTCTAAGTGCTGAGTACCAGCCTCAGTTTCTCTGTCTGTAAAAAAGTCTTGGAATGTGTGACTTGAGGGGCAGAGAAGCTTAAAAAGGCATGATATTTAAAGTATTTAACCAACCCTGGGTCATTTGTTTAACAAATATTTCCTGACCCCCTGCCCAGCACAGAAAGGCGACCCCTTCATAGTCCTGCCATTGTTGGGAATGCAGCACCATGTCTTAGGGACAGGAGGCAGACAGACAAAGACTGTGTGTAGCACACCAGAACTGACTGACACTGTGATTTGAAATGAAGCAGGGGCTAGAGAAAGACAGGAATGAAGAAAGCGGGTAGGCAAGCCTGCAGATGAGGCCCCAGGGGAGCAAGCACAGGGTGGAGAAGGAGCAAGTCTGTCAGGGAGAGAGTCTTCCAGGTGAATGGAACATACAAAGGACTCGCTAAGTGCCCTCCTCCCAAAGTTCCCCAGCAGTAACTGCACAGCAGCCTCCCCACTGAGCTCAGCCTATCAACACCACCTGAGAGCCGGAGAGCTGCCACAGCAGTTGATACAAAGTGTGTGGATTCCAGTGCGTGGGAGGAGCCCCAAAACTTTCACTAAAACTGTGGACCTGAGTTTTGCAAATATTTTTCATAAGCCTCGAATTCCCAGCCCAGAGATGAGTAGCATGCAGGAGGTTTAGAAGAGATGAAAGAGAATGATTTGTGGTTATGTCCCTGGACCACAGATGAAATGCCATCAGATCAGGGTCAGATGGGCATGATCAGGACACGAAGAAGCAGAAACAGAAGCAGGGACACAAGGAGCATGTGTGGCTCGCTGGGGCTGAGTGTGGCTCAACAGCCTGGGAGCCTGGTGTCTGTAAACATCCCATGGAAGTGGGCGTACCGATGGTCCAAACAAGGGCTCGGGTATTAGGTGGACTCCCCAGTGTGGAGAGTGGTAACACCAGGAGTTCTCTCTGCTCCCAGTGCTGTCAAGACTCAACGGCCATGCTTGATGGAGAGCCACGGCCCGGGAAAACCACCCTGAGAGAGTGCTATGTGTGTGTCTGCTTGTGTGGAGACTGAACTTGAGCCAAGCCACAGTACCCTCCTGCCCCTCGTAGCTTGCCAGACACACTTCAGGAGTGTGAATCTGGAGCCCTGGGCCTTGAGAAAAGGTTAAATTATACTGAAGGCACTGTCTAGGAAGAGTTTCCAGGTGTTCTCACGAGCAAGTTCTGTCTCACAGCTTTCATAAACGTTCTGAGGGTTGGGTTGGACAGTGTAAACATGATCTCAACTGTGTCTGCAATATGACTCTCAGCAACACCTTATTCTCTGGGGATGTTTTGCCGATTTGGGGGTTACAACTTAGAGCTTGTGCTGTGCGGCCCCTAGGGACGCTGGTGAATGGCTCCTCAGTTTGCACTGGCTTTGCTTTCCCATTCTGCTTGGCACAAGAGCCTTGAAGGACTGCTGCCTGTGGATATGTGGGTTATGAGACAGACTCAAAGTGTGTCACTGCAGCCTGATCCCTCTGCATTGTGGGCTAAGACTTTAATAGGATCTTTAGCTAAGCTCGGCACCTTTACTAATGCAGGCTTATCTCCCTGTGGCCCTGTGTAAGTTCCTTCACAAGTGACTGGCTTTCAGAGAACCAAAATAACGTAGGAGCTGGCACAGGAGCTCATGCCTGTAATCCCAGTGCTCTAGGGAGGCTGAGGTAGAAGGATCATGAGACCAGCTTGGACCGCACTGCAAGACCCTATCACTTAAACAGATCACAGTAACTTACAGGAACATTTGGAAAGGCTAATGCTGGGTCTGTGTCTGACTGCGCCCTTCGTGAAGCCCCTCAAGAGTCCTGGCTCCCTTCTTCCAAACAGGCAGCTGATAGGTTTCTCCTTGGCCTAAAGTTCCTTTTGGGTTCCTTTTAGCCCTTTAAAATTTTTACTTTATTTTATTTTGTTTTTTTAAGAACGGGATCTCGCTATGCTACCCAGGCTGGAACACAGTGGCTATGCACAGGTGTGATCCCACTTCTGATTGGTAGAGTTTTGACCTGTACCCTTTACCACCTGGGCTTGCTCACCCCTCCTTAGGCAACCTAGGGGTCCCCTGCTGCTGAACTCAGTACAGACACCTGATTAGCATAGCACACTGCAGTCTCAATCTCCTGGGCTCAAGTGATGCTCCCACCTCAGCCTCCTGAGTAGCTGGGACTACAGGTACATACCACCGTGCCTGGCTAATTTTTAAAAATTCTTTTTTGTAGTGATGAGATCTCACCATGTTTCCCAGGTTGGTCTCAAGCTGCTGCTCAAGTTCTCCTCCCACTTCAGCCTCCCAAGTAGCTGGACTGTAGGCACACATCACTACACTTGCCTAATTTTTAAAAGTTTTTTTTTAGAGACGAGGTCCCACTGTTTCCCAGGCTGGCGTCAAACTCCTGGGCTCAAGTGATCCTCCTGCCTTGGCCTCCTGAGGAGCTGGGGACTACAAGTGTGTACCACGATACCTGGCTTCCCCCTTTTGAAAATGGGTTGCCTTGCCTCCAGAACATTTGAAGGGAGAAGACTGTTTTCCACGTGATACAGCATCAGGACCTTTAAGTATTCTGGGGCTATTTTCCCTCGGTGATGACTGACTTCCAGGCCGACATGGACCGGAACGTCCCTGTCCTCATCTGCCTGAGGGGAAATGACTGCTAAGTGGAGTGTTCCTGGGCTGAGCTCTTCAGACTCCTGAAATCCACCTGTCTCCTCAAGAGCAGCATCTCCCTTGTGTGTTTTCACTGGTCCGGTCATTCGACACACCTGGGAATGTCTGCCGCATGTGTGCCATCGTGCTAACAGTGACGAAGAGCGCTGCTAAGTGTGATGTTGCCTACAGGCCAGATCCAGGTTCACAGCCCTGAGATAGGTGCCATTTCCACCCACATGTCAAATAAGAGAAAACTGAGGCACATGATGAGCAAGTAAGTTGATGCAGGTCCCACAGTTAGGGAGAGACAGACCTGGATTTGGACCCACACAGGCCAGTGCAGGTTCATGCTCTTCCTGCTCTCCCAGGAAGCAGGCAAATGGGTGTCTTCTAGCAAGTCAGATGAAGGCAGGAGAGCTCACAGGGAGTGTTGGGGACTCCTGGTCAACAATGGGGTGGGCATTTTAGTATCCACACTTCACTGCAGTTGAGATGTGGACACAGGGCTCTGTATGAGCAGTAACTAAAGCATTTCGTCAGCTCAGGCTTCATGAGAATGACACGTATTAGTGAATGGATGGGTCCCGTTCTCGTGGGAAGTACACGATGATCTGTCAAGGGTGGACCATGGATTAATGCAGTGTCGCACCTTTCCCAGGACCCGCAGGCTCCTCAGCATGGCGGTTCAGTAGGGGGCTTGCTCACTACAGAGTCTGCTTCTGTTCTCCTGTTCATTGATGTTAGATGTATTCTTGGCCACTGTGGGGTGGTCTGAACTGGGAGGTCTGCTTCTGTCTCACCTCTTGTAACATCCCAAATGTTCTCTGTCTCTATGGGGAATGCTCTGTTGCTGCGGTGTCTCTGGCTGACTTGTTCTCTTGCTGGATTGTGAACTTCTATTCTGGTAATTGCGTTCTCCACCAGCCCTGGTTATGAAAGGAGGGTTTCAAAGCCATCTTTGAAAGCCAAGTAACTTAGAACTAGATTCAAAGTCAGATCCACAGGTTTACTGAAAGTCGGGCACTTGCTATGTAAGGCCATTGCCCCCTCCCTGCACCACGGCTATTTTACCTAGAATGCCTCTTCTTTGGATTATAAAAGAACATGTGCCTCGGACCTGGCACCTGTTATTAGGGGTATAACAAGCAAAGAACCCAGGTCAGACTTCCCTGTAGCAGTTAGTGAGAGTAGAACAACTTATTTCTGGCATGGGACACCTGGAAAGTTTTCACAGGAAAGGAAGGATTTGGGCTGAGCATTAGTTGATGGGTAGAATTTTGATAAAAAGAGATTTGGGGCTGGGTACAGTGGCTTACCCTGTAATCTCAGTGCTTTGGGAAGCCAAGGCAAGAGGATCGTTTGAGGCCAGTAGTTTGAGATCAGCCTGGCCAATATAGCAAAACCCTATGTCTACAAAAAAAAAATTTTTTTTTAAAAATTAGCCAGGTGTGGTGTGCACCTAGAGTCCCAGCTACTCAGGAGGCTGAGGCAA